CAGTTTAACTGTACTGCATTTATTTTGCGTTCTGATAAATCTGTGGTTGTCAACTTGTTATTACTGCTGTTGATGTTTCTGCAGCTTTCCTATTAAAAATCTTTACGAGTTCTTTATCGATATCCAATTTTAGAGTCTTCATGATAGAAACTTTGTAAGGACACGGTTAAAATGGATGCTTAAAATATGGTTCACTGGAACAAGAAAAACATCAGTTTGGTTAACACAATTACCTTTTTTACCCAATGGTTTTTGTTCTTTTGTTAATGTTTTCTTTTCCTTCTTCTCTATTCTTATCTTCCTCTTCTTGATTACAGTTCCACGAGCGCTTTGCGCTGGTCTATAGTCCTTGTAAACATTTTTACTTCAAATGAACCATTAAGTCCAATTCGAAGAATTTTTTTTCTGCTTTCAGTTGGTCACCTGGAACCAGCAGAACATTTCGGTTAGATGTTACTCTTGGTACACTGTATACTACTAAAAAAAATTTAGTAAGGGAAAGGTTTTATAATATTAGTGGCACAAATAAATCATACACAGATAAAAAATGGAGCCATTTTTGTTATAAGATTAGTCAGTTGTTACCAAGGAACACAGAACAGATACGCAAAAACAAAGATTCCATGCATGACGTAATAACGAATTGAAAACCAGCTGTCACTCTGTGTTCCCTATGTCTTGTGACCAATTTTTTCTTACCTCCATCACTTGAATAAATGGTTCTTCATTAAACGTTTTTAATTAACTATTGAAAAGTACGTAAAGTTTTTAATGAGTATATTACTTTCTCGCTTTTACTGCAAAGTCCAATATGGAGAAAAAAATTTTCTTTCAGCAGAAACAATCTAAGCCTCTTAAACACTCCTTTAATAACCATTGAGGTGGCTAGCAGTTAGCTGTTCCTCTCATTTTTCTCCTCTCTGCTGTCAAAACCGTACATATGAAACTTTTTAATGTTATAGTAGTCACTAAGTTCCCAACTACCTTATCTTATGTAATGTGTCCGCCTACACAATATTCAGTATTTTCAGCCGGAAGTAAATGTGCGCATTAGGAAAGGAAAAAGAATAAACGGAAATGAAGAACAGTTTAGGGGTGGAAGCGAGAAAGGGTTGAAAAATACTAATTTAACAGAAGAAATGAAGGCTACTCTATTTTTACAAATTTTCTTAATAAAATTGTTTGTTGAATTTTTTCTTCAAAAATTTCTTAATATTAATCTCTGATTACTGAATATTTTTATGTGCAGGTTAACTGCGATGGAACAACAAACTAAACTAAGCCTTTAACTTAACCGCATTGATGTCACTCAATTATTGTAACAAAAATTTCACGGCTTTTTAATTTACCAAACACGTTTTTATCACTGACCTTTTGCGGCTTAAACGGCAATGACATAATTTGGATTTTTGGGTAATTTCAGTTGGACACCGATTCACCAAAACACAGAACTTTTATTTACTTCACAATACATTTCAAATGGAAATCCTTAACGGTGAACACTACATAAAAATTCTGTTGTTTTAATTTTCAATGCAGTAAGAGGAGCATTCAAAGACTCAAAAAAGCAGCAGCTGATTTGCAAATGCTGTATTTCGAATACCTATCTTTTGTCACTAGAAGCGCCACAGTAGTTTCAAAATGACGAGTGAAAGTAGGCGTTAGAAGTGACTATATCTGCTATCGCCTACATAAACCAGGATTTTATCTATGGTTTAAAATCTTTTCATAATGTTACTGCTTACAAGACCAAAATAAGAGTTCATAGAAGTATGTAACAAAAAAAAAAAAAAA